TCTTGGGGGGACACTGTTGATGACTCCGGGGAATTTCTTTTTGCTCTCTGCATCTTTCTCATCCTAGGGCACCCGCGGGGAGCCACACTCCCCCCAGCAAGGTTTCTCTGGTTCTCATGCCAAAGCATATTTGTACCACTGAGTTACTTTCCTTAGAGAGAGAAATAAAGGCTGGTTCAAACTTCGGCACTACCTCGGCTCCTTCCCTTGGGTGCTGGGTGAGGATGAGGGACTGGGAGCAGAGGGTCCCGATCCCCTGGGACCTCCCCGCGCCGTGGCTCCGTGCCCCATCACCTTTGCTCTGCGGTGACTGGGAAGTGTGAGAATTTCCTCAGGACAAGCCTCTGCCCCTCTCCTGACTTTTCCCACGGAGGGGGGAGAGGAGAGGCTCAGCTTTGAGCTCTGCCGGGGCTGCAGCATCCTTTGGTGGGGTCAGTGGGTGACGGGTTTTGGGCTGCTGGGTAGGGCAGAACCCCTCGGGGCTCCCCGACCTCTTCCCTCCCACCATCACCCACTACTGCAAGGCTGGAGGGGGTCCTGCAGCAGCTTTTCCCATGGGACCCCCCCCCAAAACCCAGCAGAGCTGTATCCCTCCTGTTCTTGCCCATAGCAGCGTCTCTGCAGCCTTCACTCAGGCTGGGACCTCCCTCTGCTCCCTGCAACAGCCAAGAAGCGCCCAACGGTTGCGAGCAGTTGCGATCCACCGTGTGACCCAGGGGGGACAGGGCTGAGCCCCCCTGTCTCGTGCTGCATGGGGAAACTGAGGCACAGAGGGGAGACGCACAAAGAGGAGAGCCGGGGGCACCTCAAACGGTGTTGGGCATCTGGGTCCAAACCTCCAAGGGGATTTGGGCATTGCTGATGGCCAGGATGTACCGGGATGGACGGGGACATGCCATCTTCATGGCTGGGGCCACCAGCAGAGCTCTGGGCTGCTCTCCTGCCTTTAAGTGGATAAAACCCTCTGCGTCCAAACCCAGGTGAGAGCCGCCACCTAATCTAATAAAGCTAAGCCTGCAAAGAGCAGATCTGTCTCGGCAGCAGCCGATGGAGAGAGTGGCTCATCTGAGCAGCAGCTTTCACCCTGCCCGAGGGTGCACCCATGGGGATGTGGAAGTGTCAGGGGGCTGGGTGCTTCCCTGGCATTTGGTCCCTCTGTTGAACCTTTCCCTCCTGCCCCTGGGATGCAGCTGGAGGGGTTGGAGGCATCCCTCCATCCTCCTCTTCCTCCAGTGCTTCCTATCAGGAAGACACGATGCTGAGCCAGCTGGAGCTTTGGTCTGATCCAGTACGACCATTCCCGGGGTGTAACTGGTCCCCCAAGCTCCCAGCCCTCTGCATGGAGCTGCCAACCTGCCCAGTGCTGCACAGGCCCCTGGCACTGGGGCAACTGGGGAGAAAGTCACTGATGGGTTGGGGTGGACCTGCTGGGAGGCTGCTGGTGACACAGGGCTGGGAGTGGTGGAGATGCAGGAGGGACGTGGCAGGGATGGAGAAGCGGCCAGAGAGGAACCTCATGACGTTCAATGAGGAAAAGTGCCAAGTCCTGCCCCTGGGGAGGAACAACCCCATGAAGCAATGGCCACCCGACTGGAAAGCACCCCGGCAGGAGAGGACACCAGGTTGACCATGAGCCAACAACTTGCTGCAAGGAAGGGTGAGGGTATTCGGAGCTTCCTCTCTGCTCAGCACTGGTGAGGCCACATCTGGAGTGCTGGGCCCAGTTATGGGCTCCCCAGTCCACGAGAGACGTGGATATACTGGAGGGAGTCCATGAAGATGGTGGACTGGAGCATCTCTCCTAGGAGGAAAGCCTGAGGGAGCTGGGGAGCAGAGAAGGCTCAGGGGGGGTCTCATCATGGCTATAAACACCTGATGGGGAAGAGGATGGAGCCAGGATCTTCCCAGTGGTGCCCAGTGACAGGACAAAAGGCTCGGCCACCTCCAGCGGGTCCCCCCACCCCACCATCCGCTTTGGGAAAACGGAGCATCCCCAGGGGACCCATAGGGATCCGCAGGGACTGGTCCTCTCCAGTCAGACCAGGGCTGCGCGGGCAGGTCCCTGTTGTGGGCAGGGGATGGGGTGGGAGCTGGGACACCCCCATGGCAGGGGGCTGAGGGGTGTCCCCTGTGGAGGAACCTCCCGGCAGGTCCCAGTGGGTTTAGGAGCACCCCGAGCCATCTGCCCCCGCTGTCTCATCCCGGGTGATTTTTTTTCCCCTCTCAAAGCATTTAAATTTTCCTTGTCAGCTGTAGCCCAAATATTTACAGTCCGCTGGAGAGACTTAAAATTCCTCCCTGGGATTAAGCAGCGGGCCGCTAGCTCATGGCTGCAGGGGAAGCTCAGCCCCGGGCAGCTGGGACTCATCCTGCGGCCTCCTCCAAGCCACGAGGAAGAGGAGGAGAAGGGGTGGGGAGTGAAGGCTGAAAAGGGGCCAGGTAGTGGGTGGGAAGCAGGTAGAGAAAAGGGGAAAATGAGGGGTTTAATGGGGGGGAAAAAGAAAAAGAAATTAAAACTCATGCTGCTCTGGTTTCTAAAGCCATTTTCAGTAAATAGGGGTTTAATTTTAAAACAAAAAGTCTTATTAAATGTTTCTGTTTTCCCTTCCCAGCTCATTAAACCCAGCAAAAAGCTCCAGCAGACACTGCTGGGGAGTGGGAACCCTTATTTTTGTTACCCTGACCTTCTCCCTATCCAGCGCATGGCCTCAACATCTTCATTGCTCTGCACCAGGGTCCTTTGGATGCTGAGGGCATCCCGAGGCAGCTGCGGGACTTGGCACCCTGGGGACGGGGACATGCTGGGGGTCACCGCTCCCTGCCGCCAACCTGCCCCTTCACTGATCCGAATTGGGGGAGAGGTGCTGGGGAGGAACACCGGCTGGATGCGGCCACGGGATGGGGAGTGCCAGTAGGACCGGTTTGGGACCCTGGGCTGGTGATGGGGACACTGGGGTGACCCAAGGGGCAGAGTGTGTGTTTGAAGGTGGGGGGAACCAAACCCCCTCTCCGGACAGGGCAAACGGGAAGGGATGGGAACACTCCGGCTGGTGGCCCTGAGCCTGGAGAAACAGGAGCTGAGCCCAGGAGATGGAAGAATTATGCGCTCTGTTAATGAGGCGATGGGCCTCATGGCCTCATTAATTACGTGGGGCCGGGGAGCACCTCTGCTGGCGGGGGGGGGCTGCATGTGCACTGAGCTGCAGGGATGCATGCGTGTGGGCAGGAGATGCCACCGTCTCCACCCTGCCAGCCGGTCCCCGCTCCTCCTGGTCTCCGGCTGCAGGGTGCTGGGTGTCCCTAATGTCCCATCTCCTCCCGCCCTGGGGACCCCAGACAGCCCCCCACGGGTGTCTGGGGGGGGCTGGCACCAGGTGGGCACCGTGCAGGCGACTTTGGGAGTCAGTGGCTCTGCCACCGCTCGCCCGCGTGTCCTTGGGACACTCACCCATCCCAGGACTGGAGGAGGGGGGCTACGGGAGACCATCCCCGCTTGTCCCACCCTCCCTGCCCAGCCCAACTGGCCCAGCCCGTAGCGTCCCCACGGGTGACACCGGCAAGTGGCACGGTGCCCGCTGCCCATGCGGACGTGTGGTGGGGCTTCTCCGGGCACGAGCGCCTGCGGTGGGATGCTGCCTTCTCCGCTGTGCCCCCTGCCCGCCCGCTGCCATCTTATCGCCGGTATTTTCCATGGGCGAAGGCTGCAGGGAGGGATGGCGGGGGGGGACGAGGGGGACACGGGGGGGATGTTTGTCTTGCTGGCTGGAGCGAGGGGTGATGAGAAATGGCCACAGCCTCAGTGGCACCAAAGAAGGAGAAGTTGACGGGGCCCGGAGGAGGCGGCCTCATCCTGCTTCCTTCGCCCTTTCCCTTCGGATGCGGCCCAGCGGCTGCCAAGGGGTCCCCGCCGGGGGGATCAGGATGCGCTTGGGATGTCACCGGGGGGGCTCACCGGGGGTCCCGGAGGCAGATCCACAGCCCGAACGGCAGCGGGTGCCAGCGGCTGCTGGGTGTCCCGGTCCCGTGGGGTTTGGGGGAGCTGCTCTGCCCCAGCCCTGTTTTGGGAGGACCCCCACCCCACCCCCCCACGAAGCCACCAGAGCCAACGCTCCCCCCCCCTCACGTCCCTCCCCAGGGCCACGCTTGGGTCCCCTTCCCCGCAGCATCCCGGGGGGACAGCGAGGCCAGGAGGCGATGCCCAGGCCTGCCCTGCCCGCCCGTGCCCCCCCAGCCGCGGGAAGGGTTAACTCTGACCGGCGCAGCCAGCCTTGGCCGAGGCCCTTGGAGTGGGTTTTTCTGTCCCCCCCCGCGGCCTCCCACGGGTCACGGCTGCCGGGGCTGACGTCGGATGGAAAAACAATTTATCTCTGGCTGGCGGGGAGGCCGGGGGAAGGGAAGGCGGGGGGGGGTCCGGCCTTCCTGCCTGGCCCGGGACGGGCGGGGGGGCCCAAGCCTCTGGTGCGGCGGGGAGCCCAATCCTGCACCGCCGGCGCCATCTGCCGGCAGCGCCGCGGCGGGGACCCGCGTGACACCGGGTGGGGTGGGGGGGGCACACCGGCCACGGGGAGGGCGGCACTGCAAACCGAGCCTGGGAGC